GAGTGTGCAGCATGACAGAGGAGCTGACAGAGAGCAGAGCTATGACATAAAGGTTAACTAAAGGTTAAATAAAGGTTCAATAAAGGTTAATAAATTAGTTAGTAAATAACTATGGGACAGCACGGTGGCACAACTGGTAGAGCTGCTGCCTCTCAGCGAGCAGGTCCCTGGTTCAAACCCCGGTCCAGGGGTCTTTCTGGGTGGAGTTTGCATGTTCTCTCCGTGCATGCGTGGGTTTTCTCCGGGTGCTCCGGTTTCCTCCCACAGACCAAAAACATGTATGTTAGGCTGATTGGTAACTCTAAATTGTCCCTAGGTGTGAGTGAGAGAGTGAATGGTTGTTTGTCTCGCTTGTCTCTATGTGTCCCTGTGATGGACTTGCGACCCGTCCAGGGTGTCCCCCGCCACTCGCACAGTGATTGCTGGACATGGGCACCAGCGACCCCCGTGACCCAAAATGGAAGAAGCGGGTAAAGATAATGGATGGATGGATGGATGGATGGAAGGATAAATAACACAGATAAAAGAACAAACATGAATTAATTTGTTGTTGATTTCTTCCTTTTTGCATTTAAACCAACATGTTTTGTTGTTCCAACTAATCCCATATCAAGAAAGTGATTCTAGTTTGTGTAATGTTTATAATTTATTAATAATAAAGCTTTACCCATAAAAACACATTGTTTCCTTCAAAGCATTTTTTTGGTCTCCTTCAGCTGCCGGCTCTGCTAACATCCCATTTACTTTTAGCTTTTATTTACAGTTTTGACAAAATAATTATTTGTTTAGCCTATTTTGTATTTAGAGAAATGTTGTGGTTTGATTTGTTTTAGCTTTTAGCTACTGTTCTGATTATTACATTTTTAGCAACAGTTGTTCAGCTTTTACATTTACACAGTTCTGCTCAATTTAGCTACTATTCTGCTAGTTTTAGCTCATGCTTTTGTTTTAGCTTGTGTCCTGTTTCTTTTAGCTTGTTTCTATTGTTTTAACTCTAACACCTTTTTCCGTCTTCGTCATGAAAACGTATTTCAGCTCATGAAGCTGAAGATCCTCAGATACTTCAGAGATTCTCAGATTATGAATCACGTTCTTTTCTCTTCAACAGAGAAAAATGATTTTAAATCTGTACATTTAATTTGTGATTCTTTTCTACAATAAAAACCTGAGACCTGACAGATTCATTATTTTTTAGTTGACACAGCAGCTGAAAGTAAATGGAATGCTCTGAAGTTTAAAGGTTCTGGTGACGTGAGTTCTGACGAGCCGGTCCAACAGGTTTTTTAACTTGTGAATTTTTGAGCTGCTTTCTGAAGTTATGAGGATGTGAGAGTTTCCTCAAACACCTGAGCAGCTCCAGACGCTCACCTGAACGTGGACGTGTTTGTAAAACGGTGGATCAGTGGAGAGTCCACAGGTAAGAGTCTGTAAAGTGTTCTGCGGGTCAGCCAGCTCTGGGTTTTACCGCTCACTTTATGATATAAATATTGATTTAGACTGACCGGCTCTATGTGTTTTTATATTTTTACTCTTTAAAGCTAATTAATCAAACTGTTAAAATTATATGTTTTACTTGCCAATAATAAATAATACACGTCAATATGTATATTTTCAGTGTTTACAAAATAAAAACAGCTGACTGTAATCTCATCAAATGTCATCCTACAGGAAGTTCCTCATTTGCTCCGACAGATTTGGGTCCACTTGACCACGAGTTTATTTTGAAGATGAATTTGAATCTTCAGTTTTGAATCTGACTCGTTTTCTTTTCCAACTGTTTGAATTTCAAGAGTTTATTTGTTTTTTAATTCTTTCAAATTAAAGGATGCCAGTCCCAGTAAGTTTTTGTTGTAATCAGATTACTATGAACAGTTCATCCTGTTTTTCTCGAGCGTCAGATCAAGTTCAGATAAAAAGGGCAACAAATCAAACTTTAAAAAAAGACACAAAACCTTCATCAACTTTCTCAAAATCTGGAACTTTTGTAAAAAATCAGAGCCATAGCAGTGCCAGACTTTTATTTTAAGGAGCATCAACAAGCTTTATTTTGAAACTCCAAGTTAAAACCATGACCAGTTTTCCTTTTCAATGTTTAAAAATGTGAAATCCTAAATGCTGCAGAGGTTTGAATTCACCTCCCTGAAATTCAAAGTTCTTAACAGGACAAAACTGTTAAAACCCTAAAAGATTAAAGGCGTTGATGAAATAACAACAAAACTCAGTGAAACCGAATCTGCTGAGTCACTGGTTGCCATGGTGATTCCCACCCTTTCAGGGGGCAGAGGGGTGGGGCAACACACAGAATGTGTCTGCAGTGTTTTTATAGGAAACACAACAAGTTTAAGAAAAATAAACTTTTAAAAAGTGTAAAACTTAAGGAAATAAGAATTAATTGGCCGATTTTTTTAATAGAAAATTTAGACAATTTAGACTGTGGTGCATTAGCATCTTTAACAAATCAATATTATGAATATGATAGCATGATGGCTTAGTGGTTAGCACTGCTGCCCTACAGCAAGTAGGTCATGGAGTTAGGACCTGGAGCATTTTGTGTGGAGGTTGCATGTTCTCCTCATGCTTAGGTGGGGTTTCTCCCGGAAATAATTCTCTGGTTTCTTCAGGGGTTTGTCTGGTTAAATAAAACAAGGAAAATGGCGGGTTTTCTGTCAGTTTTTACTTTTTTATCAGCCTGAATCGGACCTGATAAGTCCTTGTGAACGATGGCTGAGCTTGTTGGTGTGTTTGTGGCAGACGGGGAGCGATGGATCAGAGTCAGCTCAGAGAAGGAGTCCCTCTATATAAACCCATTCGGAGTGGGAAACCTGGGAACCTGAGTGAAACTCCAAGGTAAGATCATCTTAACCTGTCCATGACTAACTCAGCTCTCAGACTAGACCACGATAAATCAAACTTAAAGTTCAGATTTTGCTGTTTTGAAGACCTGGACCTGAAAACAATTCTGGGCACGAGTCCTGATGGTTGTCCTGGAAAAACAACAATCCTCAAAGTTTTCTTTTTCAAATTAAAAGTTAAACTTCTTTAGAAACGTGGTAAGTTTGAGTTGTTCAGTTGTTTCTTGTGACATGTGGACACAGATTTACAGCAAAACATTTTCCATTTATGTTAAATGTTAAAATGCATCAACTGGAACTTACAAGCTATGTACCTTTATGGTACATTTACCTGGTACATAGTACACACAGGGTTAGTGCCTGGTAATTACTGAGTACTTATTGGGTATCTACCCAGTACTTATGGGCACGTACAAGGTAGTTATTTGGTACTTACCTGGTACTTGGGGTAAAAGGTAAGTACCCATAAATTGAAGTTTGTGCATAGTATGTACTGGTAATTATGAAGTACTTACAGATTATGTACTCAGTACCTACAAGGCACATACCTGATAATTATGGATTATTTACCAGGTTTGTACAGGTTATATACCTGATTCATATGGGGTATTAAATGAGTTTGTACAGTATATATATATATACATACTGTGCAGTATACAAACCTGATATGAGGTTTTGTATTATGCACTAAGCTGGTATGTACCAGGTCTTATGGAGTATTTAGCAGGTATATACCTGGTATTTATGGTGTATTAAATTGGTACTTACAGGGTCCATACTAGGTACAAACTAGAAACATACTTAGTACTTATGGGGTACATACAAGGTATGTATGCAGTAAGCACCAGATATGTACATGGTAATTACCACTCTGTATTAAAGATGTCTTCTGAAAAAGAAATTGTGTTAATATATTGTTAGTCTATCAGGATTTGTCATAATTTAACAGAATCCATCGGTTATACAGTGCCTTGGTTTGATATCTTTTGTAGCGTTAATCGGACCTCAGATGTTCTCAGTCCTCAGTTTGTCCCTCAGCATCCCACAGATCTGGACTCCATATTCATGGTGAGCAAAAACCTCTCATCACATCAGCTTGAAGAACACTTTTCAGACGTGGTCAAGTTAAAAATATGAGAGAAATATTGTGTGTAATCAGTAAAGTGGTCGTCAGGTCCATGCTGGTCACAATTTAACCCACTACCACTAACCTACTGTTTAAAATGTTGGACATCATGTAAGTCTAACTTTATCCATATCTGGAGGGAACTTTCATCAGGTTTGAACGTTTTTTGTTTTCTTCAGTTGTTAGGAGTTTTCATGATTGTCTCTGTTCCAGTTGCTCGAGGAAAACCTTTCAAACTTTATGAAAACTGAAATCAAGAGGTTTAAGATGATGCTGAGTTCAGATTACCAAAGTGAGGAAGGTCAAAACAAGGACCGAGTGCTGGACAACGGAGTTGAAGAGCAGAGGAAGACCAGGAGAGATTTGTTTCTGGAGATCACCTTGCAGTTCCTGCGGGAGATGAACAGAGGCGGCCTGGCTGACAGTCTGTGGAACAGTAGGTTCTTTTAAACACGATGAAAGGAAGAAATGAAGGCGTGTAAATATTCTTTTTTATATTTACAAACTATTCTACCAATATGATGCAGATACATTCATTAGATCTTTAAATTATACTCGACTGAAAATGATCAACTACCGATGAACAATGGTCTTGAAGATGTAAAAACTTCCCACATGTTGGTGCAGAGGCATCTAGAGTTTGTTTTTTGTAATTATAGGAACTCATGTTGCAGAGAGCACACAGAAGTTCAAGTCAAACTTTGCAGAGAGCTTCCAGGGCGTGTTTGAGGGGATCAGTCCAGCAGGAGATCTGAACCAGGACTACATGGAGCTCCATATCACTGAAGGGGACACCAGAGAGGTCAGAGATAAACACGAGGTTCAACAGATTCAAACACCATCCAGGAAACCATACAGACCAGAAACAACCATCAGGTGTGAGGACATCTTTAAAGTCCCACCTGGAAGAGATGGACCGATCAGAACCGTGATGACAAAAGGAGTCGCCGGCATCGGGAAAACAGTCCTAACTCAGAAGTTCACTCTGGACTGGGCCGAAGGCAGAACCAACCAGGACATCCAGTTCCTGTTCCCGTTCACCTTCAGAGAGCTGAACGTGCTGAAAGAGAAAAAGTTCAGCTTGGTGGAGCTCGTTCATCACTTCTTCACAGAAACCAAAGGAACATGGAGGTTTGATGAGGTCCAGGTTCTGTTCATCTTCGATGGTCTGGACGAGTGTCGACTTCCTCTGGACTTCCACAACAACCAGATCCTGACTGACGTCACAGAGTCCACCTCAGTGGATGCTCTGCTGACTAACCTCATCAGAGGGAACCTGCTTCCTTCTGCTCGCCTCTGGATAACCACACGACCTGCAGCAGCCAATCAGATCCCTGCTGAGTGCGTTGCCATGGTGACGGAGGTCAGAGGGTTCACGGACCCACAGAAAGAGGAGTACTTCAGGAAAAGGTTCAAAGACAAGAAGCAGGCCAGCCGGGTCGTCTCCCACATAAAGACGTCCCGGAGCCTCCACATCATGTGCCACATCCCGGTCTTCTGCTGGATCAATGCTACAGTTCTGGAGGACATGCTGAAGACCAAAGATGGACCAGAGCTACCCAAGACTCTGACTGAGATGTACATCCACTTCCTGGTGGTTCAGACCAAAGTGAAGCAGGTCAAGTACTACGGAGGAGCAGAGACAGATTCACATTGGAGTCCAGAGACCAGGAAGGTGATCGGGTCTCTGGGGAAGCTGGCCTTTGAGCAGCTGCAGGAAGGAAACCTGATCTTCTACGAGTCGGACCTGGCAGAGTGTGGCATCGACATCAGAGACGCCTCGGTTTACTCCGGAGTGTTCACACAGATCTTCAAAGAGGAGCGAGGACTGTACCAGGACAAGGTGTTCTGCTTCGTCCATCTGAGCGTCCAGGAGTTTCTGGCTGCTCTTCATGTCCACCTGACCTTCATCAGCTGTGGGCTCAACCGACTGGAAGAGAAACAGACACCACCCAAGGTGTCCAAAGTCTTTAAAAACAAACCTAAAGTAAAGAATCTCCACTACAGCGCTGTGGACAAGGCTTTACTGAGCCCATCTGGCCACCTTGACATGTTCCTTCTCTTCCTCCTCGGGCTCTCTTTGCCATCCAATCAGACGCTGTTACGAGGCCTGCTGATACAAACAGGAAATGGCTCCCAGACCAATCAGGAAACAGTTGAGTACATTAAGAAGAAAATCACAGAGAACCTGTCTGCAGAGAAAAGCATCAACCTGTTCCACTGTCTGGATGAACTCAACGATGGTTCTCTGGTAGAGGAGATCCAGCAGGTCCTGAGATCAGGAGATCTCTCCACAGATGATCTGTCTCCTGTTCAGTGGTCGGCTCTGGTCTTCATCTTACTGTCGTCAGAAGAAGATCTGGACGTGTTCGATCTGAAGAAGTACTCTGCTTCAGAGGAGGCCCTCCTGAGGCTGCTGCCGGTGGTCAAAGCCTCCAACAAAGCTCTGTAGGTGGACGAATGATCAGTTTCTAATTATTTACAATTTAAGCATTCCCATTTATGTTCAGTGTCCATTCTTTTTTAGGTTGAGGTATTGTGACCTCACCAAGAGAAGCTCTAAAGCATTGGCCTCAGTCCTTTCCTCACAGTCTTATAGTTTAAGAGAACTGGACCTGAGTAACAACAACCTGATGGATTTGGGAGTGAACCTGTTGTCTCCTGGGCTGCAGAGTCCAAACTGTAAACTGGAAACCCTTAGGTCAGTATCCAATTCATTGGTGGAGAAATATAAGATTTGCTGATTAGAGGTAATAAAACAATTTTCATCTCAGAGCAGTTGGAGAAGGGCGAATCCTCTAGCCCTCCCACATCAGTACTTCTGTGTCATGTTGTGTCACCTGTCTTAAAATGAGTCTATGTGAGTGATTATTATCAAAGCCAACTGCAGTTTTGATCACGACACCAAGGCGCTTAGATGACCATCACAGACCAAATGTGGGGTTGACACCTCCGTCAGGCTGCAGTTGATGTTAGTGACCTTAGACAGATTGACCACCAGCTCTTCTTTCAGCCTTTCAGTCTTCAGTTTGTCTCCCTCAGTCTGGAGACCAGTTCAGCTTTGTGCAGCAGTACATATCTCAGCATACAGCAAGACTTGAGACTTGAGCAAGACTGCCCGCATCCTCCACCATACTTGACTGGATATTCTTGTTGTCGACAAACTCCAGGACCCCCTCTGGACAGTTAATTCAGTTCGCTGTTGGACTGTTAGATCTTTGAAAAGTCACGTTACTTGGCTGACAAGTTCTTTGTTGTTGTGTCAGTGGTGCTTGGCTGACAACGTCTTTGAACCGTCTCATTGGTCAGTTTCACAGACCCAACTTCAGCGCCCACCTGAACACCTCTGGTATCTGATCCGGCACCCAGCAACAGAGAGTCCTGATCAAAACTCAGATGGATGCTGTATGCATTTAAATGCTAACTTCTGTGTTTTGTGGGCCTAGCCAGACATCTTCCCAATCCACAGGTCTGTCCTCTCAGGCCGCTGAGAAGGAAAAATAAACCATCCAATTATTAAAATCTGATTCAACATTCATCTGTTATCCACATTAATCCTCTGTTAGCAAGTTCTACTCTGGAACTGCAGAGTTTACCTTCAACGGAGTCATTCCGGTGTCCTGGATTGTACAACAGATGTGTTAAACGCTCAATTACATAAGAGTGAAGACTTCCATTAAACACTGCACAATCTAAGTCTTTACCCCTACTGCATAAGATATTCCCTTCAAAACAATGTCTTCCATCTTGTAGAATATGTGTTTTGACTCACCACCTGACAGTGAAGTCCACTCTCAGGGTCCCATTATCCATTTAGACCTTGTAAAGGTTTAGGCAGCATGATAATATGTAATCACTTCTTGTTATATAACAAATCTGCAAATCATTTCATCTCATACTATGCTGGTTCACTGTATCACAAACAAAATATTTGTAATTCAAATCAATTAAGACTATGTATACCCTTCAAGACATCACAGAGTCCATTGTCACTGCACAAAAACGTCTACATGCACCTTTGTTCACAAAGTACAACTTCTTAAACTCACCATGTACACATCTCTGTTGTCCTTTTGCACTCCTAGGACCTGTGTGAAATCTCAAGTCTTAAAGTTAAAGTCACGTCATTTACCCACTAGAATTGTTGTTGTCCCATAATTAACCTAGTTCCAGCAGCTCTTAGAAGGAAACAGCTCCTAAACGCTAAACATTTTCAATA